TCTCTCTCGCTGTCCGCTTTTCTGTTTATAGCCGCCCAGGCCATGTTCGCAGCCGTGTGATATATGCCGCCATCGCTGACCCGTGAACAGTTAAAGGTGCAGCCCTGCAATCGTTTGCTCGTGTCACTGCTGGCAGAATGGTGGCTGATCCAAGGGGTGGGTGGTAGGGAGGTGGGGGCTGATGGGGGTGCGGTTGTTTTCTTCTCCTTGAGACCCCCAAAAGTGGTATTTTTTTATATTTACCAGTGAAAATACATTGTTTTCTTTTGTTGATGTTGAGGCCCTATTTCTAAGGCTTTGCATTGGGATTGCTTCGGCCGCTGACTAATCCCCTTCAGCCACCTCTGTGGCTGAAGGGCCTCTGTTAGAGGCAGTTCTTCTTGGCCCACTGTTCCCACACTGGCCAGACGCCTTGGAAGAGGGTGGGAGAGTACCCCCACACGCAACCTGCCCATCGACTAACTGTGCTGAGCCCATTTAAAAAAATATTTTTCTGGGTGGACGGAGGCGATGGTGGGCGGGGGTGGGTGGGGGGTATTTAAGAAACTTGTGCCATTGTTTTAACTGCCACGCCGGGAGATCAAAATCGAACCGGCAACTCCCTCGCTTGCAAGTTCAGTGTGCTCACCATTACACCAGGGCAGCACCACGTCAGTACTGAAGGAGGCGCCCCATTGTTCTGCGAGTTGCTACCGCCTAAATGTTTGTTGCTCAATTTTTTTGTCACATTGCGGATGATTATACATTCATTAAAAAGGCATTAGGGCGGAAGATATACTGCTGGTCGTTATGTAGGAAATTGAGGCCTTTATTTGCGATGTGACACTGATTGGCAATTACGAGTGGTCCCGGGTAATGTGTCCTTGGGGCACTATCACGATAAAATCGGACATGTGCGGGTTTTTGCAGATTTGCCTAATGAAGTTCCTGAACCGCAGCCATTACAGCCACGCCTCAAGTCAATGGAAAAAAAACCACAACATGGTAACACACGATCTCAAATCAAACTCGATTAAAATCAAAGTTTTACAAAAGGTGGCCAGGTGACTTAAGAGGTTAGAGCGCGGATCTGGCAGAGCTGAGATCCTGGGTTCGAATCCAGGTTTTTGACCTCCCTACAATTAAACCGGCTTCTTGTGTGCAGTGAGTTTTTTTTTTAAACCTCACCTCGGTCACCCACCAATGACTGCAACAACAAAAACCCCCATCTCATGAAATGTAGTTTTGCACTTTTGGGTTCGATGCCAGCTCTGAGAATGAAATATCGGTTTGACTGTCACGCGACACACGTGACTCTCGCATGTGGCACAGCAGGTGCTAAAGTACTTTACTCTGTGGACCAGAGGTCACTTGAAAGGCTCTCGGAGGTAGTTCTGTGATATCTGCTTCTGTGGGCTGTCCTCTTTACACCACGAAGGGTTGCACTGCTCCGCGAGAAATCCGAACGGATTCTTTGTCTCACGATGACGCACACCGTGATGGACTTGGTCGACAAAAAAAAATCAACTTGTACTTTTGGGAAGCGGGGTCGGGCAGTGGGAATTCTTTTGATGTCATATGACCCGGTAATAATACATTATTGCATTCCTTCTTTCCCAAATATGTCGTGTTACACTGATTGTTCACATTTCCACATTGGTAAATCAATCCCCCCCCCAAACCCCCTCTTATGCTAAAACAGATGAAAGATAACCTCTTGAGATCACTGCACTTTTTACGGAATGAAAAAATAAAGGTAATTAAACATGCAGAAAAAAATATATATCCCTGGAATAATAAATCAAGGAAGTAAGAGTCTTGTTATTTATGAATATTCCCGTGAATCTTTTTCTCCCCCCTTTCTGTTTGAGTGGAGCGCATTTTGTATTTGACCTACTTTTTTATTCCTGAATAATGTATGGGCAGAACGCTCGATTGGATTGCACACTTATTTGGAGACCCTTTTCTAGATTATTAAAGCCACCATCCAGGGGGGAGCTGGACTGCTTCCAGGATTATGCAAAATAATCTCGATATAATTTCATAAATCTAGGGTTGTCATTATATACTCGTGATTGTGACCCGTAGGCTCGCACTGAGACCCATAGACGTGGAACTGAGATCCATAGATTAATACAGAGACTCAAAGACGCACACTGCGACCTATAGGTTCACACAGAGAACGATAGACCATACATTCCCATAGATTTAGATATTCCATATATTTGCAGACTAGAAATCCATAGTCTTACATAGAACCCCCCACCCCCCTGCGCTAGACTTACACGGACCTAGAAACCCAAACAAAGACCCCATGCACTTTAAAAAGAGACAGAATTACATAGAGAGCACGGGGCTGTAAGTGGCATGCAATGGTGACATAGAGACCCCCATAAACTTAGACTACCGTTGACTTGCATACATTTCTTTAATGATTGTCAAACAAAGCAACAAAAATAACAACCCTGTAAAGCAATAAAAAAATAATTCTGAGAGATTAAAAAAAAATGAATTACACCGAGGGGGTCACCGTATTCGTTGGACGCGTGACGATGAATTGCCAAGGGGTCGTGACACCGCTCCGGTTTACGCGCGTCTCCCACACAGTAGCGTGAATGTTTTTTTTGTCGCGGTGTAGCTTTAACGTAACCGGATGTGGGCCATTTGGGAAAATGCCATCGCCCGTCATGTTTTGCCCACCCCTTGTCCCTCAACAGCTGCACCTCTTTGTCTGCACGCAGGCGCGCGTGTGGCTCTCACAGAAACACGTGGTTCCCTCTCGTGAGAGTGGGGGCTTTATTCACATCGAGATGGAAAACTCATTTTTGTTCTCTATTGAAAACTCGTTTTTTTTTTCTAGTTTGAGAGCTCATTGCTTTCGAATTGCTTTTTGTGTGTGTGTGTGTTAGTTTGTTGTCCTTCCCCCACACCTCCGATTAGCACGGTTGGCTACGTACGGTGGGAAAGAAGTTCAGCAAACATACACGCGTACGTTGGTGGCAAGATGTTATCTCCCTCGCCTGGTACGCTTGGAGGTTGTGCGTTCTATCCCGGATCCTTGACGATGCCTGTTGTACATTTGAAGTTTGCGTGTTCTCTCTTCATGGTGGTCACGTGGATTTTTTTTCCCCGTTCCTCCGGTTTTGTCCATCTCTACATTTATAAACATGCATTTAGATTATTTGGCAGCTACTATAATTCGCGAATATGATTATGATGTAAGCCAAATCTATAATCTATCATGTCTGGCCAGGTCACCTCAGAAAAAGAACGAATAGGTCAGTGGGCCTCACCAGTTATTAAAACAACATTCAGTGTGTGTGGTGTGAAAATAAGTAATGTTTAAAAATACTTTTTTTTAAACACGCTTTAACGAAATGTGCCGTACTCGTAATGGCAGGACTCCACGACTGCAGGAAGTGGCCCCGAAGCTTGCCATGACGTAACGTCAGTTGAGCGTGGACAATTAGACCCAAGCCGAAACATAACATGTAAAAAAAGATGGTTTACAAATATATTTTTCATGGTAGAATATAGTATTGTCACCAGTATGACATAAGTATACCAAGTTTGCAGTCGAAAGCACATTGGGAAGTGGGTTAAAATTGAGTTACAAGATTTGAGGATACAACAACAACAGACAGAGTGAGTTAAATAAAAGCGTGTAATAAAAGCACGACATTGATTCATCATATCCAAATTTAAATGACACCGAATTATTAACATTCTTATTGCCATTCCGATGTGTAAAAAAAAAAAATGCGGGAAAATCACTTTGCGTGGGCTTCCGCGGATTTCTATTGGCCCCTGGAAGTGGGAATTGCGTTTGGCAAGCCCTGGGACTGAGGCCATCTGTTGTGTTCGCAGCTTTTCAATAATTACTTTGGATTCAGCTGTACCCGTGATCCATTCCCTTTTAATAAAATAATCATGTTCTACCGTGCCTGGGCGGCAGTGAATTTTCAGTCGCAATATCCACCTTTACGCCATGACGTATATAATATATACAGTTGTGCAGCACGTATGTGCATGCGCATCTGCATTCTGGTGCCATATTTACCGCCGAAAAAAATGAATGCTCAATTAAAAAAATTAAAATCGTGGGGAAGCTGCACGATGGTATGGTTGTTCGCGCACTGCACCTGCAAGCCAAACATCGGCGGTTCGACTCGATCGCCCGGCCACGGCGATTGAAACAACGGTGCAAGTTTCTCAAATCCCCATCACCGCCTCTGTCCACGCCTCTTCGAAGACGAGAGGGGGCTCTCTAGAACGAGGCCCTCTTGCCAGCGGGGGCATGAGCGAGCAATCGCAGGGCTGCAATTTTACCACCTTTAATGGCTCAGTGAGTTACGGTTTTGTGTCAGATGACTGAGCTGGCAATGCCGAATTCTTTAATTATGAATGTGGGTTTCAGCCAGCGGTGATGAAAATTCATGCCAAGGGTTACAGCAAGTCAATTTTAGCAGCCCGGTCAACAAAAGTTGCACCAACACTTTCTTTTCTTTTTAATGTTTTATAGTTTATTTTATTCAGTATATTTCTTGATCCGAAGATTAAAAATAGATAATTTCCCATTGTTTTTTAGTCTGCCACGTAATGAACGTCAGGGCATATGAGATATTAAATGTTGGATGAGAGGCAATTTCATAAACCTCAAAAGTAGTTCCCTGATATCACCATCCACGAGTCCGTTCTCTAACGTGCACTGATGTTACACTTCTCCGCCCAAGTTCCGCATCAAAACGTCTTCATCTCGCGGCTTGACATGGACACGCATCGCAAATTGAAGTATAATTAGGTAAAATGGCGTTTTTTAAAGAAATAAAATCGACAAAGATCTATTCAATGAAAGAGTAACTCCGTGAACTGCTGTGATATGGTGCAATGTCGTTTGACTTTTAAAGGCGGCTGATCCGAACAATGGCAGCAGCATGTGCAGCTCAAAATTTAAATTTATTTTAAAACGGTGCCCCGAAGGGACGCTGCCTGATTGCGGTTGTTATCTTGTGTCTCCACAGCTGGATCCCAAGGGCGTCCCAGAAAAGGACTGGCAGGAGACGGTCATATCCATGAACGAGGTCAGTCGGTCTTTACGACCCCCGGCGCAGAGCCAGAGGAAACACATGGGAGGCTTGCACGTCGGTCCTGCTGGCCGCGATTTCATTAGCAACTGCCGCAACAATTTTTGCAATCGGCCAGGTAGCCCGGAGGTCAGAGTTCTGAGCCAGCATGGCTGAAGTGCTGGGTTTCAAAGCTTCAAATCTAGAATTGCTGGGTTTCAATCGGGGTTTTAGTCACCTGCGATTTAAACCGGGCATGCGTGTGTAGCAGCGACTCAATGGTGGCAACCCGGTCGCCAGTGGCTGCACAAAAAAAAGCCAACATTAAGCTGTGGGGTTTCACTGAATGTGACCGATTTCCAGGTTGTAACAGTTAAGCATTGCTTTGCGCGTCGTTCAAAGTACGCCAATGTCAATCTCTATAGGGATATCAAGGAAATAGGCCCACTTGAATAGTTCTTTGCTCAAGAGGTTCTGTGAAAATATCCTGCACAGCCATTCTTGGTTGCACAGGGTTGCACTGCTCTGAGATTTTCAAATGGATTCTATGTCTTAGGACGTGATGCCCAAGCACACCACGAATAGCATTGGGATAAAAAGGGGGGCAAATAACCAATTAAGGTAGCACACTTTTTAGCCGGATGGCGATGCGGCCTTCATTTGGAAGGTCCATGGGTTCAAATCCAAGCTGAGGCGGTCAACTCAGCCCATCATCCCTCCAGGGTAAATGAAATAAATACCACTGCTTGCATGGAGAGACTGCAGTGGTTGTCCTCCTGAGGAACAGCTCCCTGCCATTAGGAATGTGGAGTTTACACCGGGCCGACTCGACCACAAGCGGAGATGAGTTGCACCCCGTCATTGTTTTGCGCGTGGGAATGCAGGCTGACTTTCTCGGCGGCAGTGAAAGTTCATTTATAGAAACGATGTTTTCTGTGGATACCGAAATATGTCAGAGGTGAATGAAAAACACATGTTTGCACTCTTAGAGCTTGCCATGAATAATGCGGTTTAACATGTGCAGTGGCTCTACTAAGCAGCAGTACTTTTCTCTCCACGTGTTCCATACTAACAACTGCACTGTTATAAGATAAACAGTCTCTCAACTCTTAACCACTCCATATGTGTAATGAAGAAGGGCCATTGACCCAAAACGACGCCTATTATATATACTTACATTTTTATGGCCGCAGTGTTGTTCACGAATATGTTTTTTTTTAAGTACCGTGTCATATGAACACATGCGTTGCGATAAGACGCCATGTTAACAACTGTACTGGTGTAAAAGGCACTGCTGATATCGTTAGTTACAAAAAACTAAAATTGGTGTTTCCCGGGCGCTGTCAACGCCAAGTTGCGAGAACAAAGAATCCATTTGGAAATCTCACTCATCAGCATGGTGCCCGAGCGTGGCTCCCCGTATTATTATCAGCAGGCATGTTCAATCCACTGCTGCAATTAAGTCTTATCGATGCCATCACCAGCACCTGCACATGAGCCGATTTCGTCACTCCATCTCCTCGGTGGACGTGACTGTCACACGTGTTTTCCATCTCCCCTCATTACTGTACTATACCGTCACCTAATTCGCACGGTTGGCTACGTACGGAGCGAAAGAAGTTCACCATACAAAAATACTTGTAGCATTTACAGGGTGGAGCGGGTAGCGCAGCGGTCAGCACGCTGCGCTATTGAACTCCGCCACCTGAGTTTGAATTCTGGCCCACGATAAGGCATCGATGATTTCTTAACCGCACCGACCGGCGTGGTGAAGTATGATCGAACCAACCCCCGTGACCGACACGGTATATGGCGAGGCCTAATCCAGCAGTGGATTGACAAAAAGGGCTGTAAATTATCACGGTAGAAGCTTGATTTAAGCATGCGAGGAAATCATGCTCGCATGACACTGGTGCGAGCAAGGAAAACGCCGACTTTTGATGCAAGCACACTTTCCGTGCAAGGACACTGGGCCTTGCTCCCAACGGTGTACTTGTGTGCAGCTTGTACTGTATTCGGAAAACTTACAATGTCACCTTAATTATTCAAGGCCATCCTTTTTTGCGAGAGCGATTTTCCGCGGACGTAAGCTGGAAGTTACTTCGTTGCTTTGAGGTTAATTAGCGTAGCCGGCGCATAATTTCATCGCGTTCCGAATATAATCCCCTCTTTCACGGTTCAGTGAGCTGATGTGCCAGTTTACGCCCCTGGCTGCCAGTCATCATGCTCACCGTAAAGAGGGCTGACAAACAGATAGTGATGGATGTAAATTGGATTCATTGCACCTTTGACTCGCGCGCAAAGGAACCCGTTTTGAAAGCGGTAAACACTGGACGAGGTCACCCACTTCTCGCCGCTTTCATTTCACAAGCGGAAATTGGAGAGCTCTTGTCCAAGCGATTGGGTGAATGCATGCGTAGGATTCTGGCCTGTGCCTCCCACGTATGAATAAAAAAATATGTTTCGTCCATTGGCGTATTTATTTGCTCCCCAGACCCAATATTATGAATCGGCGAGGTTTGTTTTAAGTAAGGAAACTCTGAAATGGTTTTGACCTTTTGTTAAACATATGCTGCTGGCTTGCCAGGCGTAATTGGCAAGAGCACTCCATCTGAGGTGATGGGTTAGACCATTAGCTGTTATGCTGGGGGTTTATTTTGGGATAGATCGCATAAACAAATTACAAATAATGATTATTCCGTGCAAAAAGGGAAGAGGCTTTCAGGCTCTTCCCGAACATAAATAGTCATGGAACACAACATCGCATTTTTTGGGTTATGTTTTATTATAGTAAACCATTCGTTTTGATGATTTAAAAAGGTTCCACCGCAGAGTTATTCCATTTGTCAGTAATGGTATTCGAGTTAATTCTGTTTAACAAGGTGACAACCCAAGAGACCAGCATGCGGCTTCGTTTGCAAGAGTGGCCTACGCGGTCGTTGTACCATTGTGTAGGTTTTCGCATTTTGTGCCGTACTGCTCACCAGCGTGGTGTGGCAGTTGTGTCGTGTGTTGTTCACCGCGATGTCCGACGTTTTGCTCCACGTTCCGGAGCAATTTACAGCCCCGTTTAACTCGGTTCAATTAAACTTCAATTCCTGGTGCGAAAGGTCGGGCGTCATGCAGGAGGATGCGCGGTACAACCCAAAAAACATCGGAGAGTTATACAGCAACTTTATTGCTCAAATTTTACGATCATATATAGACAATACAGGGCCCCGTCATGTAGGGGAAGTGCTCCTGCCAATGATATCGGCCAACTGAGTGGCATTTAAATTCTAGATTTGAAGTTTTCGTGACTGGTTCTTTCGGTAAAGTCACGTAGGTAAAAAATAAAATAAAGTTAATCAAATCACGACGTTTCGGAAGCAACACAAGCCTCCGTCATCAGGTGGGATAGTCACTACAGCAAATTACTTCTTGCTGTGTCTATCCCGCCTGATAACGGAGGCTTGTGTTGCTTCCGAAACGTCGTGACATTTGTTTGACAATCCTGACCTGGATGGTGACCCACAAAAGGTGAAAGCTTGTCCAGAGTTTGTTCGCTTGAATAAATGTTGCTGGAAAATATTTGTTTGGAAAGCCCATAGGGCTCATAGAACACATTCTCCTGCGGAGGGAGCTGGTAGGAACGTTGGGTTGCTCGGTCGATGGCCAGGGTCAACGGCGGCACCACGTGGTGTATTCCGCAAATATGCCCGACTGTGAGGGCAGGCACAAGCAGGCGTGAGTAGGTTAAACGTTGAGTTTTATAAGGGCACCACGGGGTGACCAGCCCCTCCCCACCCCACCCAGCCCCACCCCACCCAGCCCCACCCCCCACGCAGCCCCACCCTCCCCACCCAGCCCCTCCCCACCCAGCCCCTCCCCACCTAACCCCTCCCCACCCAGCCCCTCCCTACCCTTCCCTCTCCACCCAGCCCCATCCCTCCCACGTGGACAGACATCCACAGACATACACAATTAATCCCCTGCCTCCTGTGAATTAATCCCGGTTGGGCTTCCAGTCCACTACGTTTCCTACCAGTATAACATATCTTTCATTTTCATGCAAGGAGATGAACAACGGTCTGATATATCATTCGTGTTATTTCAAACGCAAAGTTAATTTGCAGTCAATGCCTCTCTTTGGGCTTTTTGCTCATACTGCATTCCGAATTTTACGAATGTAACACTTTCCAATGCCTCTTTGGCCTGCTTATTTTTTTTGCTTTTTTTTTTGTTTACAGGTTTTTTTTTTCCCATTCAGTTTTGGTTCCACGTTGTTGCGGTGCTTGTTTGCTGACGTTTGGTTGTTGTCATTCTCCAATAATCCTCGCAGTATCGGTTTTTGGCTTACCGTCGAACAAAGACGGTCACCACATCGCGCGCTGTCAGATGCGCTTCTGTGGCCGTCTGGAATGCTCTTCCGTCCCATATTAGGAAGCCACTGCAGCTATGCATTTTTAAATCATCTAGATTGAAAAACTAATTTCCTTAGAACTGCTTTTTGTATTTAGTTTGTTGTTCTTCCCCCATACCTCCTATTAGCACGGTTGGCTACGTACGGTGCAAAGTAAACTTTTAAAACTTTTTATTTTACCATTTCAGGCCCACTGAGCTATAAAGTATTTTTTTCAGAAGCAACCTGGCCACAAATGATAGCGCAACGGAGTGGCTTAACGTGTGTAAATTTAAATTTTGATTTAAAGCTTTCGTGACTGCAGTGATTCATATTCTTGGTTCTTTCGGTAAAGTCACGTTGAAACAATGTTTCCCTTCAACGTGACTTTTAAAATAGTTTACTTTGCACCGTACGTAGTCACGTTGAAGGGAAACAATAAAATAAGAAAATATATATAAAATATCTATATTTTATTGTTTCCCTTCAACGTGACTTTACCGAAAGAACCAAGAATGTGTGTAAATTTATAGCAGCCAAATACTCTAAACGCATGTTTCTAAACGTGGAGGGAAAAACCGGAGAACCCGGAAAAAAATTCATGCGAACACAGGGAGAACATCCAAACTGTGGTGCCACGACATACGTTCGCGTTGTATAAATACATGTGTGCCTCGCATTGAACTCCCGACACCATGGTACATATCGAGCATGAACCACCTGGCTTGCAGTGTCGTCAGTATTGCCTCGTTCCCATCGCCAGCGTGCCATGTATGGGAAGCAGGAAATAAACAGAGCCTGCAGGATAAATGGGCAGTCTAAAGAGGAGAGATTTCAAGACAGACTTAAACATATCTCACGATTTTTTTCTTAGCAAAGGCCCCATGCTAGCACCTGGTTGACCCCGAAGAACCCGGTTTTCCCAGATGCCCCCCCCGCCCCCCCGTGATTGCTTGAGGTGGCCAGGTCGCTCAAGGGTCAGAGTGCCGAGCCGGTGTCGCTGACAACCTGGGTTCAAACCCAGGTTTCAGTCACCCGTGATTAATCCAGGTTCTCAAAGGTTATACATGGGAACCTGAGCTGGTAGACTCAGCCTGGTCAGCAATGGCTGTGAAAACGCCACCGAATTATATTGGGGTTTTCACTCGATTTGGCTGAATTCCAGCTCTAAGAAGAAAAGAGATACATTTGACCAATGTGTGGATTGAAATGCCGCTGGAATAGTTCCGCGAAGTAGTTTTGTGAAGTATACTTCCTTGGGCCCGTTCTCTAAAACATAGGGCTGCACCGCTCTGTAAAGATTTACGAATTGGAATGTGAAGCCTCGTAACATGACAGCGGTAGCACAACTGGCATGAAAGAAAACAACCCCCCCCCCCCGCGGCCTCCGAGCTCCCTTTTTGACCAGAACTACTCACCTAGAACTCAGAATGAGCTGTGGCATTGGGGATCGATGCAAAAGCAAAACTCGTGGACCACGGCACCAGGTGCTTAATCGAACTTCCCAACCGTGTTAGCGTTAAAGACACACAAGCTTCCAAAATGAAAAAAAAACAGATAGGCTCCAACTTAAATTAGTCATACCTGACTCTCATGCCTGCATTTAACCTCTATACTATCACTTCTTGACCTCCGCCCTCTGGCCCGTCAAAACGCAAAAAACCCGTCAATATTCCCAACGATCGTTATAATTATTTTCGGGATCGCGAAAGGTGACGGTCGCATGGGGAAGCCTTCCATCCAGCAGTGGAATGACCATGACCAACGATGATTATGATAATGATTGTGATTGTTGTTTTGCTTTCCACAGATCGAGGTGAAGCTGTCAATGAAGTTCACGAGCCGGGAGTACAGTCTGAAAAGGATGCCCTCTCGCAAACAGACCGGCGTCTTCGGGGTTAAAATCAGCATCGTCACCAAGTGAGTGCCCTCAATAATAATACTTTTATATTGCTTCATTCATGCCAACGGCATCCCACAAATGCTGTACTTGCCCAAGCGTGGCTCTCTCGCAATGCGCATCAGCGGGGTCCGGGCCTCAACTGGGCCTTCATGGAAATAACGGGGTGTTCTTAACCATTTACTGTTCCGAGACATCTGCAAGTTTGCAAGGTGGGTTGTCCCATTTACGGCTGAATCTTAGAATGCGCAAACGGTTCAGCTTTAATTGTATTTAGAGAGGCGTAGCGCCGTTTATTTTTAAAGACATTGCACTCACCGCAAAGAACTGTAGCGGCACGACTGCACTCTACAATAGCCGGCGCCAAACTGTGCCGCACACCCTCCCGCATGGCCTTGTGGGAGCCCCGGTTCCGATGAAGTCTTTTATGTATACGTCATCAGAACGGAACCGGAAGAAAAACTCATGACATACATGTACGTCATCGGAACGGGAAAGGCTTAAGAAGATTCATATATATCGGAGCGATGGCACCTCTGAATTTGCTCGGCATTACGAGGAAAATCTTGTACATGGCTACGTACGCTCCTTGTGTCAATCTACTGCTGGATGGGGGCCTCTGTTATCCAGTAGTTGCCGCCCCACGCCATAGCAATGATACGGGAACCACAGCAGTAGAGTGCAAACAATCTTGATTTGAAGCTTTCGTGACTGCAGGAATCCATACTCTTTGCTTCTTTCGGTAAAGTCACGTGGTAGGTAGATTAAAAATAATAGATCACGACGTTTCGATCGCAACGCAAGCGACCGTCATCAGGTGGGGCAATCTACCTACGTGACTTTACCGACAGAACCAAAGAGTGTAGGGTGCAAACATTGGACGTTGCTTCACTGCTTACCGCGCAGCCCCTCGGTGGCCTATAGCAACCTGATGTGCATGGTGGTCGCCTATCCAAGCGCTGACCAGGCTCGCACACCGTGCTTGGCTTCCGAGATCTGATGAGGCTGGACGCATTGCGGGTCATTTGGTAAAAGTAAGATGGATAAATAGATGACATTTAATTGAAGCCAGGTTAGGGCCCGTTGAAAATAAACGACTTTTATTTAACCGCGCGCATCAGTCTTTACGTATTTGTTTGCTTTATTATGTTTAAGGCCGGAAACTGTGCACCTCTAACATGGACAGACTGGCGCTTACCATGAGAATGTGGAATTTCCACTCGCTGTGAGCCACCCGTGGAAATGCGGAAATACGCCACGCCGTTTCTTGCTTACTCGGTTGGGGGAGGCACTTTGATTTAACTTGCACCGGTTACTGTGGCACAATAGATTATTTGAAGCGATATCAATTATGAATAATTACACTTTCATATCCGAAAATTATATGCAAATTAAATGATAATTCGACCATTTAGGCTAATGGTGCGAACAGAATTGCTCAAATGAGACGGCGGTGGGTGGGGGGGAAGAGGGAAAACAATACAAACGAACCCAAAATGAAGAATTAAAGAGGCAAAAAACCGAACTGATTCTTTCACTTGAATCGTGGCCCTGAGTCGTGACTTGTTACCCCGTAACGAGCCACAGCAGCGTTGGGAAAACTCCGATAAGCACGGTTGGTTATGCACGGTGCGAAATAAGTTCTGCATATGTACATACGTGCGTACGCACAAACCGCGCAAGCAGACGCGCTCCGCCTCTCGCCTTCGAGATTCCCAGCCCGCACGCGCAGGAGTGATCCGGCGGTACGATTTCAGAGAGCTTTCTTACTCCTCCAACCGAGGCTGCAATTTCCTGAAACCCGCAGCGTTGCTTGGAAGCGCAATCGCCGTCATCGACTCCATAAAGGAGGAGGGGGGGAAAAAAATGTATGAAAACAAAATAGTTCTCATGTTTTCGTAAGAAGCTCACTCCCACGCCCGTGCCTCCTTCGACGCTGTTCGTGGGCAGTGATGTCTGAGCAGTAGTTCGGCTTCAGTGTGGCGGCGGGGGGGAGCTGATCAGCAGCGTCTTCTGTAAGTTCATCTCGGGGTCGGTCGTGAGCGAGCCACTGGACGGCTTCAGGAGGAACCACATTGTGGATATCCGAAATTCTTCCTGGCGAGCGACCGAAGCAGGCTGTGGTGTTACCCTGTAGTCCGTGGTTTGAGATGTAGACTCGCGTGGATATTCGTAGGCTTGTACAGAGACCCATAGACACGCATAGAGATCTATAGAGACACCCCTAGAGATCCATCGAGAGACCCATGGGCGTGCATCGACACTTCCTTATTATATTCTTGGTTCTTTCGGTAAAGTCACGTAGAAGGGAAACAATAAAATAATAAAAATATAAAACAATAAAATTCTCACGACGTTTCGACTGCAACACAAGCAATCATCATCAGGTGTGAAAACCACAGCAAGAAAATTTGAAAAAAGTGGCGTTTTTTTTACGTTAGCACCACGGATAGCGATTTGACAGTTTGTTCAGATGGACGAGTCCATCTTATGTTCGGAAAAGAGGAGGGGGGAGACGAAAATAATGGATGCGGTCTGAAAGCCACCATAAGCGTGATCAATCAATTTAGACCCGAAATAGTTTATCAAATCCTTCCAATGATTGCTAAGCCAGAATCCATCTTCTCGGTTGAAATTGTCTCTGTGTTTGTATATGTGGATAGCCCTATTAGTATAGCCAAGAGGCCGATTGGCTAAATATTTATTTTATTTATATGTTTTCACCCATAATGCTCAGCAACAACGCAGAATGAGTTTGTGAACTTAAAAGGCATTTGTTTGTGCGGGACACAAAAATGCCAGAAATTAACAGTGCAAGTCTTTTTTTTTGGTCGTGAATGGATGGTTTAAAATGTTTATTTTGCTGCAAGCGCTACAAGCCTCTCGAGGCACAGCTGGGAGTGAACGGTAAATTAACTATTTTTTTCTGGCTGTGATATAATCCGTAAAAAACCCCCATCATAACAGCGGTGAAAATATTTACCTCTGACCGTTCGATCAGGACCCCAAAAGACAAAGACAGCGATCCCCCGTGTGGCCTTTGACAGACTTGAGAGGCAAGTGCCGTTAGTGAGCACCTATTCATGCTGGCACAGCGCACGAGGGGGTGCTGTCTGGACTCAGCACCGCATCTGGTAGCCTTTGTCTCCCCAGTGTGTTGATTTTTACACACCGCACCAGGTACGCATTTAATGCTGAGTCAACCGAGGTGAAGCTTCTGATGGCTCTCTCGATGTGTGTGTTGGATTGAACAACCCGCAAACGAAGACCGACATCGTGATCGCAATTGAGGTTGCCCACGCTCGGGAATCGAACTCGGATGGCCAGGTTCATAGGACCGTGCGCGCCAACCGCAAAGCCGCCACTCCTGCCCACATTGACGGGGTGGAACATACGTGGCGGTGGTGTAAAAACATCACGTCTTAGAAGCTCCTCGTGTATGTTCTCTCCTGCCTTTGAGTGAGCATGGGGGAGCTTTCTGCCAACTTAATTCCATGTGGCACCGCCACAGGACATCGGTTGGCGCTGAGATTATAAGCCAGAGTCGCACACACACTCACACATGTGCAGGGCAGGCGGGTGGCTTAGAGGGAAAGCCAAAGTGACAGGCGTTCCACCGTCTGCAAAATCGATTACACGCTACCAGCAGCAAATGGTGCCCTTTATGCCGATTCCTTTTTTTTCCCTCCCCCCCTTTCCCCATTTTCAAAACCAGACTTGGTTCTCATCCAAAGGGAAACGTGACACTGGAAGCAGATGCAGCGAGGGTCGGCGACAGTAGCAGCGGGAGGCCTCCGGTTGTCTCGTGCGGCGGGGCCTTTTAGGTGGCTCAGCTGCAGCAAGGACAATTTCAGTTTGCGTAGCGGCTGAATGCAACCGCATCCCAAGATGCTTTACAAAAAAAAAAAGTGATAAACTACGTGGGGAGTAGATGGCGGGGTAGGAAGTCGGGCCAGGCAAGCAATGGGAGACAGGAAAGGAGAGTCCCGACCGCATAGGTTTTCGCGGTCGTGCTGTGCAGCGCTCTGATGTGGTTATCGGGGTCGTGCCGCCCCCACGACCGCCGGTGTTGTTTGGCGTCGCGACGCTTCGATCCGCGCTCCGCGAGCTTCTTCGGCAATTCGAGCGAAACTGTCGGACAATGCGCGGCGCAACCGGAAAAACACAGCACAGCCACGAGCAAAGTGCCGCTGCCCAGCGCCCAGCGACAGCGAGCCACGTGCACAGCGGCGGGGCAGCCGGTGCCAACGAGCCCCGGGGCCTCGGCCGCTTTGTGATCAGCAGTGGCGTGTGACATAGACGCACGTTTGTTACGTCATCACACATCCACGCCGCTGCTAAGACTCGCTAATAGTCTGGGCAGAGCGTGTCCGAGGCGCACATTTCAATCGCGATGTTTGAGTTTAAGTTAAGCCTCTTTGCATCTCGGAAAATGTCGCGGGCTTTTGCCGGCTTACGTACGGCCGCTGTCCCTAAATGCAGTCACGTGGTGCGTTCTTGGGAAGCGAACTCGCGCGCGTTGTGTGTGTTTTTTTGTAGCACGGGGCTTTTTATAGGAACCCTCTGATGTTACGTAATGAGGGCGTGGCCGCCAAAGGACGGAACACGTCCCCTGGGTCACGTCCACCGCGGAGAGATGGAATGGTGAAATCTGCTTGTTTTGCAAGTGCTAGGCGGATTGTTGCATCGCGGGGTTGTGAGAGAGGGCAGCGGCTCAAAGATGAGGCCTTCATCCAGCAGTGGATTGATCATTGATGATGATTGATTATAATTACACTAGGATCCCACCACCTGTTAGCTCAATTATATACACCAAAGCATTAGGAAGGCAAGATAGAAATGTATTCTGCTGATGAGACCAATAAAGGCCAAAATCGTGCCAGAGTTTGCTTAATCAAATCATGCACAACGATAATGGTCTGGAAAGTCAATTTGGCTGATGGACTAAATTTTTGTTTGCGGAGTTACGCTACGTGCAGTGCGTCTAATGTGCAGCGCTGAACGCCTAGTTCCTTCCAGCGTCTCGGCTGCGTTGTAGGAAGCACACGTGTTGGCCTCTGCATGCGTAGCCAGCCCTGTTCCCTGTCCTGGTTTTTCCCAGCATCGTCCTGTTTTTGAGGAAGATGTCCTGGGAAATACACACGTCTTTCCGAGACGTTAAAAGTCCCAACTTTTGTCACTCGCATCATAATAACAACAAGATAAATAATGTTACACCACTCAATGCAATGCATTTACGAGTAGTTCTCCCCTCTTCCGGCATTGTCAGATATTCCTCTTCCAGTAACACGTCCTGATTTGGTTGTTCTTCAGAGGTGGCAACCCTAGCCGTGTGACTGTGTGTCGCACACACGCACGCACGCACGCACAGAGCGAGCATAGACATGCGCACGTGTTTATCGACGGCAGGCGGGAGCGCTCCAAGGTGCCGTACGTGGTGCGGCAGTGCGTGGAAGAGATCGAGAGGAGAGCCATCGACGAGGTCGGCATTTACCGCATCTCCGGCGTCGCCACCGACATCCAGACGCTCAAGGCGGCGTTCGACAACAGTAAGCGTCGGGATGCACGCATACATACATGCACGCACGTACGACACCGCCACCCTCCACAGCTTCGAGTCCATGCGTCTCCTGGTCTCTTAACGAACCGTGGGACTCAATAAGCATGCAATACGCCTGCTACCCATATATTTTCTTCCACATACAAAAATTATAACATATATTTTTACACATGCCATCAACCGGCCTTCTGAGAGTTACATTTTTCAGCAGCGTTGGTTTAATTCAAGCAATCTCTGGGCCGGTTTAGGCATTCGGTCACCTGTCAACTGGGTTAGGCTTGCTTCAACCAATGCTGGTGATCTGCCAGTTGTTTACAGGACTCCGTTCTTCTTATAGTAGCCATTCAGAGTAATTTGTGATGTATGGATGTTGAACTTGTTTCGTAATGCATTAGTATTGCACGAATAAATAATATTAGGAAGGTTGGGAGGCTGGCACGGTGTATCAGAATCAGAATCTTTATTTATACTGGAGGAATCCGATGAGCTATAAAGCTCTTTTTCACAGAGTTACAGTGTAATGGTGAGCAATCCACAGGTCGCCGGATTCGATCTGTTCTCCCTATTTGTCAGTCAAAACGATGGACAGGTTTTTATTACTACCACCAATACTCTGACTAGCCGTGGTTTCATGCACGTCGCCTCTGCCCCGACTGCAGACCACAAGGACGTGCTGGTGATGCTGAGCGAAATGGACGTGAACGCCATCGCGGGCGTGCTCAAGCTGTACTTCCGGGAGCTGCCCGAGCCGCTGCTCACCGACGAGAAGTACCGCAGCTTCGTGGAGGCCATTGGTAAGTTACGGAGATGCAGGCCGCCCCCCTACCCCCGCGCCGCCACCCTCCGCTAGCAGGCGTAGTGGTGCAGCAATCCATCAAAATGACTCTGGGCTCGAAGGCAACGTTGCATTCTACCACCCTTTGCTCACCGAGTGTCAAAATTCGAGTGCCGATTGATTACTCAACGACCCGAAGTCTTGCCCGGAGTACTTTTTGGACGTATGCACGTGCCACTGGGCTGAACTGCTCTGTGTGTGTGTGTGTGTCACTTGGTGGGGAGTGATCGTAGTGTCACGGTTAACGCGCTTTGCGACGAACCCGGAGTTAAATTCTCGCTTACAGCCAACAACGGTGACACATATCTAAAGTGGTCCTGGGCCTCCCCCGGGTTAACTCGGCTTTAAACGAGTACCTGATGCAGTGTATAAAAATCTGCACTGGGGAAGTGGTGTTGGCCACCCATCCAGCAATTGCGTCAACAGTCCGGTAAAGGCTACATGGGGGGCCTTTGTCTTTGTGTCACGTGGCAGCGCTCTCGGACCCCGTGGCGAAGGAGAACTGCATGATCAACGTGATGCAGTCACTGCCTGAGCCGAACTACACCACCTTCATGTTCTTGCTGGGCCACCTGCGCAGGTGAGGCACCACAACACCCAGGTCTCCCTTTAGTGAAGTGTCACAATATCCAGGTCTCCCTTTAGTGAAGTGGCACAACACCCAGGTCTCCCTTTAGTGAAGTGTCACAAAACCCAGGTCTCCCTTTAGTGAAGTGCCACATCACCCATGTCTCCTTTAGTGAAGTGTCACATCACCCAGGTCTCCCTTTAGTGAAGTGTCACATCACCCAGGTCTCCTTTAGTGAAGTGTCACATCACCCATGTCTCCCTTAGTGAAGTGCCACATCACCCAGGTCTCCTTTAGTGAAGTGCCACATCACCCATGTCTCCATTTAGTGAAGTGTCACATCACCCAGGTCTCCCTTTAGTGAAGTGTCACATCACCCAGGTCTCCCTTTAGTGAAGTGTCACATTACCCAGGTCTCCTTTAGTGAAGTGTCACATCACCCAGGTCTCCCTTTAGTGAAGTGTCACATCACCCAGGTCTCCTTTAGTGAAGTGTCACATGTCCCAGGTCTCCCTTTAGTGAAGTGTCACATTACCCAGGTCTCCCTTTAGTGAAGTGTCACAATATCCAGGTCTCCTTTTAGTGAAGTATCACAATACCCAGGTCTCCCTTTAGTGAAATATCACATTACCCAGGTCTCCCTTCGTGAAGTGTCACATCACCCATGTCTCCTTTAGTGAAGTGTCACATCACCAGGTCTCCTTTAGTGAAGTGTCAAATCACCCAGATCTCCTTTAGTGAAGTGTCACATCACCCAGGTCTCCTTTAGTGAAGTGTCACATCACCCAGGTCTCCTTTAGTGAAGTGTCAAATCACCCAGATTGCCTTTAGTGAAGTATCACATTACCCAGGTCTCCTTTAGTGAAGTGTCACATCAGCCAGGTCTCCTTTAGTGAAGTGTCGCATCACCCAGGTCTCCTTTAGTGAAGTGTCACAAAACCCAGGTCTCCCTTAGTGAAGTGTCACATCACACAGGTCTCCTTTAGTGAAGTGCCACATAACCCATGTCTCCTTTAGTGAAGTGCACATCACGCATGTCTCCTTTAGTGAAGTGCACATCACCCAGGTCTCCTTTAGTGAAGTGCACATCACCCAGGTCTCCTTTTAGTCAAGTGTCACATCATCCAGGTCTCCCTTAGTGAAGTGCCACATCACCCAGGTCTCCTTTAGTGAAGTGTCACATCACCCATGTCTCCCTTAGTGAAGTGTCAAATCACTCAGATCTCCTTTAGTGAAGTGTCACATGACCCAGGTCTCCCTTTGTGAAGTGTCACATCACCCATGTCTCCTTTAGTGAAGTGTCACTTCTCCCAGGTCTCCTTTAGTGAAGTATCACATCACCCAGGTCTCCTTTAGTGAAGTGTCACAATACCCAGATCTCCTTAAGTGAAGTGTCACATGACCCAGGTCTCTTTTAGTGAAGTGGCACAACACCCAGGTCCCCTTTAGTGAAGTGTCACATTACCCAGGTCTCCTTTAGTGAAGTCTCACATCACCCAGGTCTCCCTTTAGTGAAGTGTCACATCACCCAGGTCTCCTTTAGTGAAGTGTCACATGTCCCAGGTCTCCCTTTAGTGAAGTGTCACATTACCCAGGTCTCCCTTTAGTGAAGTGTCACAATATCCAGGTCTCCTTTTAGTGAAGTATCACAACACCCAGGTCTCCCTTTAGTGAAATATCACATTACCCAGGTCTCCCTTCGTGAAGTGTCACATCACCCATGTCTCCTTTAGTGAAGTGTCACATCACCAGGTCTCCTTTAGTGAAGTGTCAAATCACCCAGATCTCCTTTAGTGAAGTGTCACATCACCCAGGTCTCCTTTAGTGAAGTGTCACATCACCCAGGTCTCCTTTAGTGAAGTGTCAAATCACCCAGATCGCCTTTAGTGAAGTATCACATTACCCAGGTCTCCTTTAGTGAAGTGTCACATCAGCCAGGTCTCCTTTAGTGAAGTGTCGCATCACCCAGGTCTCCTTTAGTGAAGTGTCACAAAACCCAGGTCTCCCTTAGTGAAGTGTCACATCACACAGGTCTCCTTTAGTGAAGTGCCACATAACCCATGTCTCCTTTAGTGAAGTGCACATCACGCATGTCTCCTTTAGTGAAGTGCACATCACCCAGGTCTCCTTTAGTGAAGTGCACATCACCCAGGTCTCCTTTTAGTCAAGTGTCACATCGTCCAGGTCTCCCTTAGTGAAGTGCCACATCACCCAGGTCTCCTTTAGTGAAGTGTCACATCACCCATGTCTCCCTTAGTGAAGTGTCAAATCACTCAGATCTCCTTTAGTGAAGTGTCACATGACCCAGGTCTCCCTTTGTGAAGTGTCACATCACCCATGTCTCCTTTAGTGAAGTGTCACTTCTCCCAGGTCTCCTTTAGTGAAGTATCACATCACCCAGGTCTCCTATAGTGAAGTGTCACATCACCCAGATCTCCTTAAGTGAAGTGTCACATGACCCAGGTCTCCTTTAGTGAAGTGGCACAACACCCAGGTCCCCTTTAGTGAAGTGTCACATCACCCAGATCTCCTTTAGTGAAGTGTCACATGACCCAGGTCTCCTTTAGTGAAGTTCCACATCACCCAGGTCTCCCTTTAGTGAAGTGTCACAACACCCAGGTCTCCTTTAGTGAAGTGTCGCAAAACCCAGGTCTCCTTTAGTGAAGTGTCACAATACCCAGGTCTCCCTTAGTGAGGTGTCACATCACCCAGGTCTCCTTTAGTGAAGTGTCACATCACCCATGTCTCCTTTAGTGAAGTGTCACATCACCCAGGTTTCCCTTAGTGAAGTGTCACATTTCCCAGGTCTCCTTTAGTGAAAGTGCCACATCGCCCAGGTCTCCCTTAGTGAAGCGCCACAGCACCCTCGTTCTGACGTTTCGCTGCACGCGCTCGGAGCTTCTCAAGGAACCGAGCATTCAACCTGAACACACACATCGGAGAGCGAGAGATGATGGCTCGACTTCGACTTGACAACTGGGTTGGAAAACAACGAACGTCACTGGCGTGCCGACACGCTTCGTTGGGCACGCACGCCGGGCCCACTCATCGTCGGGGAAGCAGTAGAAGCGGCGGCGGCGGCGGCCAAGGGGCCGGGCGCTTGCGACGCTAACGTCGATCCGGTGTGCGCGACGCAGGGTCGCGGAGCACGACTCGGCGAACAAGATGACGCTGCACAACCTGGCCACGGTATTCGGCCCGACCCTGCTGCGGCCCTCCGAGAAGGACTCCAAGAGCTCCCCGGCGGCCATCGTGAGCGTGGACAGCTGGTCGTTGGAGGTCATGGCTCAGGTTCGTTTCCCCGCATAACCCGAGAGGGGTGGGAGGGGGGGGGGGGGCACCGGTGATGTGACGGCGGACGCCGTTGACAGATAAACGCGCGATGAAGGCCGATGACCGATTCGCCTGGAATGTACCCGATTTCTTCAGACAAGGTTTGAGCCTGGATAGATGTTTGGGGGGTAACCACTGCAAGGCTTGCCAGGTGTTACATGTGTTGGGGGTCAGGGTTGCCACCTCCTGAGGTACAAACAAAAACTGAGACGTATTATGGGAAGAAGAATATCTGAGAATAACAGATGAGGGGAGACCTACATTTAGATGCGTTGTCTCGAGTGGTATATTGTTACACAACTGAAAAATCAGGACTTTCAATGTCCCAGAAAGACCGACAAATTTCCCAGGATGACCCTTAATTTCCTCCAGTTTCCATCCACATGATGCCAAACACTCAATGGTGTTGGCCAACATCTCAAAGGCAGAACCCTTGTGAAAATAAGATCTTGAACTTGAGCTTCATTTGGTAAATTATTGGCATTATTATTAATAGTCACCTTTTAAAATAACATGTAGGCTTTCGCGACCAATATGATCCATAATACAGTAAAACCTTGGATTGCAAGTAACTTGGTCTGCGAGTATTTTGCAAGACGAGCAAAACATTTCAATACATATTAATTTTATACACGAGCGAAGTCTTGCAATACGAGTAGTACGTATACGCTTTGTCTGCCGAGCATCACGTGATCACAACTGATATGCGAGTGCTTTGATATACGAGTGCTTTGGATTACAAACACGTTTCCGGAACGAATTATGCTCGCAATTCAAGGTTTTACCGAAGAGGTTTTTGGGTTACATCGCGTAATTATAAATGTGTCCTTAAAACCGCCACCACCCACACAGCCAATTAGTAAGGTTTGTCACGTAAACAAAACGTGCCAATTACGAATTGGCTGTGTCGGGTGGTGGCGGGTTTAACAACGCATTTATGTTTACGCGATCTAACCCCAAATACCTCTGTTATGGACCTTTTAATAATATTAGTAGAAGCCAGGTGAAATTTATGATTCCCATGACTATTTTCCCACATGTCAGCCAAATACATACAGGCCCACATTCTTCCAGTGCTGGATCACAGGCCGCCACCACTGCCCGGCACGTGTGTACTGCACAAGTCTGAACATTTTCATCCCAGTAGTGTCAGTTTCTTATTTTGGAAAAAAAAGCTTCTTTCCAAAAGTTGTCCGTTAGCCGCACTGCAATTATAGTATTCGGCAGTATCCAGTTTCCCCATTTTATTAAATGAATGTTAAACGAGGGAGTTGGTAAGATGTTCTCCTGCTGCCCAGGGGCTGCTTGGGTTGTGTTTTTTTATTTGGACAGGCCTCAGCGAGGTGGTGGGTGGGGGGACGTGTGACGAGGTGGGGGTCTCACTGGACCTCCGCCCCTCACCCTCCCCACCTCGTTACATCCTTCACCGCCGCTTGCCCTGGGAGACGCAGCAATCAGGGTGGCACGACCATTCGTCTCTAGCCCTGACGCACGTAGACTTCGTCAGTTGCTTCCCTATTATTGGCCTAAAAGCGAAAACAAAATAGCAGGGCAGGAAATGGGCACTTGTTGGTTTGGTGGGTGGAAACAAAATAAGACATTTTATAGCAACGAGATGCAATCACTCAGAGGCTGTCTAGATTTCCATGGGGGCCTCCCAATGAGGCAGACAGTTGCCTTCAGTGCACGCTTTCTTGTTTAATTCCGCACGCATGCAACCCTTGGGCACGCGCTCTCACTTAGGAATGCGAAGACGTTCACCGTGGCTTGGTGGACTGGGAGTAAGTTGGTAGATAACTGGTCGCCAGAATCTTTATTTATTATTTTGCAACCATACTCGATGTGGTGTGCCTCGGGTTGCCACCTGGCCTGGTTTTATCAAAATCATCTTCTTTCTCGGTTAACTTTCGAGGGAAATGAGAATAGGTTTTCCCCTTTTTCTGGCAACAAAACAGGTGTTAAGATGTTTAAAATACCAAACTGAAACCTTTCACAAGGAATCATGTCTGCATTAACCACAATGCTTGTGGTCAGAATGCAAAAAAAACGTACTCTAATAATATATGCATTGTCCTTGAAACTGATTGGTCCACACCAGAGACAGCTTTCTTTTGAGCCTCGTCTCAAAACGGTGTTAGACCAGAGGACGCTAAAAGGCCTTTCAGTTTCAAAGACAATGCATATATTATCAGAGTGTTTTTGTTTGCATTCTGAGCACAAGTATTGTGGTTAATGCAGACATTATTCCTTGTAAAAGGTTTCAGTTTGGCGTTTTCACAACTTAACACCTAAATTTTGATTTAAAGCTTTCGTGACTGCAGTAATTCATATTCTTAGTTTTTTCGGTAAAGTCACGTTGAAGAGAAACAACAAAATAACAAAATATATATAAAACAATAACAAATTCTCACGACGTTTCGACCATAACTGACCGTTTGAGTTATGGTCGAAACGTCGTGAGAATTTGTTATTGTTTTATATATATTTTGTTATTTTGTTGTTTCTCTTCAACGTGACTTTACCGAAAAAACTAAGAATATGAACTTAACACCTGTTTTGTTGCCAGAAAAAAGGGGAAAACCTATTCTCATATTTTGGTACTGGCAAAGGAGGTGCCATGATATAGAGGGAAATTTGAATGTTTTCCCAGGACATAATAGTAACAGTTTTTTTTCAGTTGCATAATAATACATGACTCAAGAAAATGTGTTTTCGTGAAGTTCTCCCCTTTTCTGTTCAGTGAAGTACTCAAGTTTTATTTGTACCTCCGACGTGGCAAACCTTACTTACATGTGTGACAGGTGCCAACCCGGAAGCCACTGCAGCTATGCACTTTTAATGCACTTTTAAATCTAGACATCCCGATTAGCACGGTTGGCTACTACGTTGCGAAAGAAGCCCACAGTGGCGAGATGTTAACTACCTTGCCTGGTATACAGGAGGTCGTGATCCCGACGCCTGTATATTTGGAGTTTGCATGTCGTCCCCGTGGTGCTGTGTATTTTTCTCCGGGTCCTCCGGTTTTTTCCCTCCACATTTAGAATCAACATGCGTTTAGAGTATTTGCCTACTATAAATTTCCACGTGATATACCGCTTCGTTGAGCTATCATTTGTGGGCCAGGTTGCTTCTGAAAAGGAGCTTACATAGCTCAGTCGGCCTTACCTGGTAAAATATTTGTTTAAATATAGTTTTACAAACACACCCGGCTGAATTGAAGCCCTCCTCATGCCACCCCCTGTGAGAATCACGCACCGAGAACGGCACATTGCGCAAGCGCACGCGGAGCGTCGCGAAGCGGAGGGACTTGAGCAGCCGAGGGAGTGAAGTGGATTCATGGGAGAATGTTCTGAGCAGAGTTCCCAGGAAGTCCCGAGTTTCTGCCCCGTTCCGCCCACCCCCATCTCCCCCCCCACCCCGCGCATGCAGAGAAGTGTGCGCTAGGCGCCCGGGCTTAGCCATCTCGCAGGGCTGGGCACACTGCATAACCTGTGTCGAACTTGTGTGCCGCAAAGCAGGCACCCGTTGCCCTTCGCCAGTGTCCAGTGTACACTCTTGTATGGACTTGAACGCTCCCGTAAACTATCCATGACCGAGTCGGCCGGAATCGTGCCCCAATCTCGTCAGATCTCTGAAGCTAAGCAACGATTTATACTCCAATGGGAGACTGCATGGGAATGCCAGGTGTTGTGGGTTTAGGCTGTGAGGTGTCCAGGAGGTTACAGTATAGCGGTCGATTTTATTAATTAATCTGTGCAGAGCTTTTGAGTGTTAGCCGGTTTATATACTTGGTGGGTTTTCTCCGGATGCTCTGGTTTCCTCTCATGCGCAGCCAAACACTCATTAATGGAATTGGCCAACATGCCAATGTAGGAGCACTCTCCTGAAACAATACTAATACCAAGTGAGGTTTGTCTACATGTACATAGGGAATATTTTGTTATTTCATTTTGCATGTCACCGTAATGCCACTGTCTCTGCAAGCACACGCATCTCATTTTGCACGTTTTTACAAATGTTGCTCTCTTCCGTATTTTGTTTCCGTTTTGTGATCCGCACCAGTGTCACGAGATGAGGAATCCGTTTGGAAATCTCACGGAGCAATGCCCCCTGTGTGTCGGCTAACAGCTGCAGAATATAATTTTCACATAACTTCTCCCAGGACAATCCTTCAAGTGGCCTTTATTTGTCCTTTCTGCAGCAGGGTCACATTTTCCCACGCACTCTGATATGAGATTGTCGCATATTAGTGAAACCAGTACATATATATAATTATCAGAGCTGGAATTTGACTAAATAAAGTTTAAAGCCAGAGCTTAGATGATAGGCTTTTATATTTTTTTACATGCTTGTTTCTTGGTGCCTCCGCTGACACCATCATCACGTCACAATCATTCATCACGGTTGGGTGGCTGCACCACCGCCCCCCCCTCCCCCCCCCCCCCCCCACATTCGAACCCAGAACCTCTCGACGTTGCAGGCTCGGCGCTCTGACCTCTGAGCAACCCGGGCTTACCTAAAGCAATTTATTTTTTTGTTATCTTCATAACAATCAAATGGAACAGTATCTGAACAAAATGTTCCCGTCGCGCTCAAAAAAAGAGCTTGGCGGCATTTGCGGCTCCCTGGCAGCGCGCGCGCAATCTCGACGCTGTTACGATCAATCGCGCAAATTTCTACCGGGCGATGACGCTGCCATCCGAACGTTTGAACGCGTGGTCCCAGCTACGGTGCTGTCTGCACAAGCCGACGAGCTTTGAATAATCCCAAAGATATAAAATAGAACGTTTTTATATATTTCCAATCGTACGCAGTTCCGTGCCGACAAAACGCAAACCAGACTCCGCTCGGAAGACCCCGCAGGATAAATATTTGAGTAAGCCTGAGCGTAGGCTGAGCGCCTTCCAAATACTCGGCGGTGGGTGACCGCAGCCTAATCACAAACAGGCCGCGTAACGAACGCCACGTGGGGCTGGATCTGCCCTCGCACGAAAGTGAACTTGACGTTCGTGCGCGCGTGCCTTCGTTTGTTCATGCGCAGTGGCAAATCCGAGACGGTGCTTTTCTCGGAAGTCATTCACGACACAATTGAGATGATTTATATGAAGAATGAGCCGAGCGAGGTTGCATGGAAATTTTATTTGGTTCCACGCAGAAGATAGGTTTGTTCGGCATGGGAACAATTGTGCCCCTTGCTGCGATTTGATGAATTGTCGGGATTTGGGGTCTTGATTCGAGTCGGGAAATTTAGTCTTGTTGGTCTCGTTTACATTGTCTCTCTCTTTTACATTGTCCGTCTCATTTGACTTGTTCAAATCATTATTTGTGTTTAAGTGTACAATTAGGCATGTAACTACGCATTGAATCGCTCTTTGAAATTGATTATTACACGTGTGATACTGAATTTAATAATGTGGTTGACAGTGATTTACTTAACTAATTGTACAAACCATATGTAATTTCTATGTTCATATTATATTTTGGCTAATGGAGCAAAAATAACTCAACGCATGAGACACGTAAAATAAGCAACAATTAAAAGGCTATAAAAATCAGACAAACAAAAGAAGTCTTGCGACCTGGAATCGTGACAATTAATTGAATCACCGGGAGGTGGAGTGTCAATCATTTGAAGCCGAGTAACAATGATTCTCATTAAATACATCATCATCATCCACGATGTAGCCACTGCAGGATAGATGCATGCCTTCCCAACCCCTTCGCTATCTCTCACGTTGCATAACGCACAGATCCAAAATCGCATTGTGAATTGTGTCGTCTTGCGCGCCGACAGAGCGTTGGTGGTGTTCAATGCGATGGCGTCGCGTGTCGTGTCTGTCTGCAGGTGCAGGTCCTCCTCTACTTCCTGCAGATGGAGTCCATTCAGCCGTCTGAGAGCAAACGACAGAGTCGCCTGCTGATCTAGAGCGGGTCGGCCTGCGCACCCTCCCACTCTTCTCCATCGTCATGGGCGCAGCGTTTCCGTTGCGCCCGGAAACAGCTCCCCTCCTCAACAGCGCTGGCGCCCGTCATTCTTTTTGCCAAAGCCAGCGTTCGCATTCCTCCACCTGCAGGGTTGGCCCTACCGTGGCGTACATCGATCGACCGCGGGTCTCTCAGACCCTCCGCGCAAGTGGACGTTTTGTTTTGCGTTTTGTTTTTGTAAAACAAGCCAGCTGTTAGTTTGGCTGAAGTGGGAATCGTGCAGCTTAGCCCATTTTCCTGTCTCTCCATCCGTCCCTCTGCTGGAACAAGGGTCTTTATATAAGTCTCGGTGGATCTGGAGGCGTTGCTATTAAGTATTTTCATTTGAATTTGTGCAAAACCAAAATGCGTCAGTGGATTAATGGTAAGGAGGCACTTGCCCACGCCCAGCGCTTCCAACCCTGTGTGCGTGCGTGTGCACGCGTGTGCACGAAGCCAACGAGATGTTAATAATCACGACGATGACAAATCGCCCCGTGCCTGCCGAGTGCAGAACACACACCCTGGCGGTTAAGGTGGACATCCATAGGCATCCGCATTAGCGACTCAACCGTACGTGGTACCGCGGTGTCTCCTCTCTGAGCCCCAAGAGTTATTCGTGGGAACAGGAGCACAAGCCCTGATGGACAAACTCAAAAGCGTGAATTTTGATTTCAGTATGTCTATTCGCTGTTGAGAGATTTTCATCCTTGTCGTCATCATCACGTGTCATTCCCAATCCGACTCGTCTTGGGATCTCCATCTCCACGCTTAGTCCGTCCTGCGAACCAAGCGGCTTCGCTGCATTGTCCAGACACCCACGTGTTCGTCTCCCTTGCCGATCTCTTCCCCCTCAATCTCACCAGAAAGGGACCACGGGCCAACGTTCAAAATAATGTAAAGAGCAAGCACGATTGATATAATGAGCACAGTGATTACATCTTTAGTCAATGAACTGCTAACGATAATCCTGCAGTAAGCGTGATGATGCAGTTCAATCGTCCCCTGATTGTAATGGACTAATTAGACGTTGTGAAACCATGTGGCAGGGTTTCCGTCAATAGCTTTTATCATTTCAGTGCAGGACGTCGGAAGGCGTATCAAATTCTAATCGGTCTAGACTAACGACAAACGACACCATCAGGCTTTCAGACGGGGGACATCTCAGGGTGCAGCCTCGTTGCGTTTAATGTGATGTCCATTTAAGCGTGTGTATGTGTGTGGTGGGGTAAAATGTGGGGACTCTCCATCTCTGGCAAGTTTGCCCAGCGTAGTAGAAGAGTAGGCCAAATACCCTATGTGGGGGGGGGGGTGCCCTAGAGTTCACTTCGGTGGAGACCCTTCTGCCAGCATGGCTAACCGTAACCACCACGGGTACAAGATGGAGCCTTCCCCTTGCCGATACGCGTCTAGTCACAGAGAAAGGCAGGTGCTAAGCTGGGATAAACACGTTGCTTGGTTTTTCGTTTTGGCAGAGCTGCCGCATCAACCGATGGAGGTGCTTCACGATACACCAAGAGCTTGGGTTGCCACTTTTGATGGTTTAAAAAAAAACAGGACACATCACGGGATGAAGAATATCTCACAATACCTACCTATAGAGGACGAAGTTACTTCATGTAGATGCATTGTCGAGAGTGGTGCATCAGTAACGCAGCTGACGAAAACCGGGGCTTTCAATTTCCGGGAAGACTTAGAGATTTCCGAAGACACCGAGCTAACTATCTTTAAAAACAAATAGAACAATCCTGGGAAAACCAGGGCAGGTGGCAACCCTAGCGAGAGCACGGGTCGAGCGACGGGTATTTACCGCTGACACTCCTGTCCAGGGGGGGGGGCCTCCCGAGATCGCGAGCGCCAAAGCGAACGAGCGTCGGATGGTGCAGCGGTCCAGCGTCTTGGAATCGTGTGACCGATGAGCCCACGGTAGCGGCGGATGCACGCACGCACGCACGATGCCACCGATGAGGGAGATTTGGGGGGGGGGGGGGCGATGAACGCCTGGAGCACACCGCTGGGCGCTTTAACCAGCTCGGCGCCAAGCATGGCACATTTGTATTGAAAACGTACAAAGACTGCACGCATAGAGTGCAGTATATGTGTGTATTACACTTTGTAATGTTGGGCTGCTTTTCCAGCGGCTGCTTCTTCACGTGGCTCACCTGAGATTTGCTCTGTAGCCCACTTGTGCCCATTGGAGAAGGGTGAGCCGGGCTCTGCTAACGGTGTGGGGGCGGGGGGGGGTTTGTACAAAATCTATGCCAAACCAGCTTTGCAAAACGATCCGGGGGACCAAACGGTGATTGAATATTCTACTGATTTGTTTTTCTTTCATGGCGTGTGAAGGGGTCACATTATTGTTGGGTTTTTGTTGTCTTGTTTCGAATTTTAAATTATTGTATAATGTTTTGTGTAAGACGGCGGGGGGGGGGGGAACTTAAGTATATAGCTATGATGTACTTGGTTGTTACTCGTAATGAATGCCTATTTTTTGTTGTCTGCCGTATGTAGATTCAATCTGTAGTTTCTGAAAGGTATCCATTGACAATGTAATCATAATTTTGTAAGTTCAACTCTCTCTTCTCCATGCCCTGCACACGTTAAGCCACTTCTACAATTGAGCGGGGTTTTTTTTCGAATATAAACTGCTAAGTTAACATTTTTTATTCAGCATATTATATTTAGACACTTTCGGCAAGCTGTTGCGTCTCGTACTCTTGAGATGCTGCGTGCAAAAACACAGTACTTTTTTTCTGTTTCGTGTTTGTTATCAATATTATTTTGTTTGAAATATTTTTTTCTGCATTTAAAATGTTCTAATACTCTTCTTGCCTGTATATAGCACAATGTTTTTTATGAACAGGCCTCCCCCAAGGAAGGCACTCGATGTGAACTCCTGTGCGTCTCTGTGTCTGTCTGTCTGTGTGCGCGCGTGTGTCTATTTGTGTGTGTGTGCTGGCGAACAGCACTTGCCCCAAAAGTCTGTGAGGGGGTGGGGGATCTTTGTACAACATCGTGTATAAAGCTCCCTTCTTGAACCATGATGAAACCAGGTACGGATAGCGTACCCAGGCAATGTTAGATGGGTAAGTGGAATTTTTGCGTTGGGCATTGATTGGCAAAGGCCAAAACGCATGTCTCCTCAACCACTGACGACCATGCCAAACCTCTCATTAATCCGGCTTACAACTTGCACTGTTTTACCAAAACCTGCAATTGAAAAGGTTTTACGTATCCGCACTAAATCTGCTGCATTCAGAGGATTATACGGACAGCTTTTACAATGCAATGATGTATACGGACTGGTGCTAATTACTTTTTTGGGCAAGACTCAATGTAAAATAATGTGTTGTGACAATTCCTTTATTTTTACATCAACACATTGCTTTACCGTTGCCGGATGTTCACCGTCGCTCGGCGTTTAATAAACAACTTCAGGACGTTGCAGGATCGGTACAACATATCCAGACGTGTCGTATGTTTTGTGCTGGTCTATCTGGAATACGTTTAAATACTTCCTACACATTTATTTGTGGCATAGTAGGTTGCGTAGGTATAGGTAGGTTATGGTAAAGTACATGCTTGGTTAAAAATATATATTAGTTCTAACATTTGCAGTGATTTAGCACCTCCTACGAAAACAGAATGACATACTTGGACTGGCGTATACGACTGTTTTTCAAAGCGGCATTGATGTGTATGTTATCGGTATATAGGGTACCAATTTTACCCTTTGCAGAAACTTATTGAATACATTTTTACATCGCGGTACCTGTCTTTCGGGAGGGAATGATGTTTTTCAGAGGGTCACGTGTGGTGGGGTAAAGTGTGGGTACTCACACCTCTTCCAAGACTTCTGGCCAGTATGGATGAGTTGGCCGAATGCCCTCTAAGAGAGGCGGCAGCGCTCTCTATAAACATGTCCGTAGTGAACGCGCTACCCCGCCTGTTCAACCCCCAGCAGTGTCACGACACAGCAAGTCACCGGTACCAGCGGGATGGTTGACTAGTTAATTAGCGTTTGGATCTTTCGTGACTGCAGGAATTACTCTTTGGTTCTTTCGGTAAAGTCACGTAAATAAATTATTTTCTTTCTACGTGAAAATAATGTATTTTGTTTCTACGTGACTTTATCAAAAGAACCAAAGAGTGATTAATTAGGGTTTGGGATTCGTATCGTATCTAGTTTGGGTGTGCTCATCCTCTTTTTTTGGCCATCAATTGGAACGTGTCACCTTTTGATTTTGGCCGCTATTAATAATATCTGCCGCTCATCCGCACACTGTGGTGGGGGCTTGATTATTGGAGTTTGAGAAGCCCCTCATCCAGGAGAGAAAGTGAGCCTTTCTTTTTTTTGTACACAAAAAGTCATGGCGAAATACTTTGGAAGAGATTGTCTTAATTATCACCCTCGCCAACTTGGCTGGGGTTAATTGAACCTATCTGCCAGGGGGTTCAATGATTCGGCGTAACCCGCGCTTCTCCGATTGATGATCGCCGCCATTCGATTCAAGAGTGGATTTCGGTTTTAACGTTTGGGGCTTGTGAGAGCCCATTGCGGCGACATTAGATTTGAAAATCATCGGTATTTATTGCACGTAAATTAACGCGTGTGGCCGTGGGTTTTCAGAGTCCACTATTAACAGATGAGCCGATTGCATCGGTGCAATTTGTTGATCGATCAATTATTCTTTTATCGCCGACCTCATGCAAAAAGTTAATATTTTGGCTTCAAATAATTAATGTGCCGTCAACACCTCCAATCTGGACCATTTTATTTTTTTAAACCATTTTCGCGTGGTGCGTGATAGGCTTCCAGTGCCACCTCTTGGTCATTTCGGTAAATGTGAGCTGCAGCAAAAATGTCCGTCGGAGTTGATTTGCATATAGGGTACACAAAGCAATAGCCCCATTGTGTCTCCAAGTATAAATGCTATGTATTTCAACCCATCAGCCTATTGAGCCAGCAGCATTTGTGTAAGCAATTTTAGATGGCAAACATTCTTGAATGTCGATAGCGGTCAGGCCTCTTAAACACATGCTGATCAGTTAAATAATTGTAACTGCCAGATGTTATTGGCAAGAGCACTGCGCACAAATTATCGTCCGCAAAGCCAATAGGCTCTTTAAACCCTGATGCCCCCACGTTTTTCCAATTCAGTGACTTTGCGGTAACACGCAACAACACTGGGCGTAGGGTGTAATCTACGATCCAGTCGAGGATTCGTTCAACCGTTCGTGAAAGTGGATTGACAAACGGGAGTGATGATCTCGCCTCTAATCTCACCAAACGGCTCTCTGATGAACCTTTAGCGCCATCTAGTGGACACAAAACGCATCTAATTTCGCGGTGCATTTAAAATATTGTACTATAGTGTGGCTTTAAATCGCAGCAAACAAAACCCAATAACCATTCTCTATGATGTTCAGCTTGTACATGTTGCGGATCTGTTTGTTGTGGCTCTCGTTGTTGAGAGTGTCACGACCAGACGACTTTCATTGTGCCCAGGGGCTCTACTTGATCAAACACCCCCCCCCTCATCAGGCACAGAAAGTTTCTCGTTGTTTACAGAAAGTGTTAGAATGTTCTAGATTTGAAGCTTTCGTGACTGCAAGGATCCATACTCTTTGGTTCTATTCGGTAAAGTCACGTAGGTAAATATAAAACAATAAAAAATCACGACGTTTCGGCCACAACACAAGTGGCCAGTTTGGTCCCTTCACCTGATGAAGGCCACTTGTGTTGTGACCGAAACGTCGTGATTTTTTATTTTTACCTACGTGACTTTACCGAATAGAACCAAAGAGTATAGAGTGTTAGAATGTGTCTATTGCTAAGATGTCCTCTCCCATGCTATGAGTAATCGATTACTCTAGCGATTACCACATCGATTACCCAACTAAGGTGATAGGCGGGGATAGTGATGTCATCGGCATTCTCAGCCACGCCCCACTGGGCGTGGCTTGTAGGGGGTTTCCAGCTTTCACTGAGCAGGAAATATTTAAAGGGCCTTGAATAACCGACCACAAAAAATGCAATCACACTTTTCAGTTAATGAATCGACTCCATTGGCTAGCCACCAACGCGGCTCTAATTTCTCGTCACCCTTAGGCAATGCCAAACTGTCTCTTCACACAGACCACAGAAATCTTATCCCTGTAAAGCGCCAGAGGCCCGAGGCAGCAGCAGCAGGAGGAGGTAACACCGTGGCTGTACTCTGCCGATGCTTGCTTATAAGCGTGTGGCTCTCAAGTTCCATGTATCGCCGCGCTACCTTACCCCGGTCCCGTTGGGTTTGTACAGGGATTTACCAATGTGATCGCCGACTTAATTTCTTTTTGACATAGACCAACTTTATTTTTGTACTCGGAAACTGTCACGCCAGACAAACATGGTTTTTTTTTGGTCTCTTGACGCCTCCTATCGCCAACAATTAGCCGCCGTCCATTGTAACGTGTACATTTGCCTACGTAGGTGGTCTTGCTGTTTGAAAGTTGAACTCACAATTGCTCATGGTTGTAAAATGTTTCATCTGCGTAAAAAAAAAAAATCTTTGTTTTGTACATGATGAGTATAAATAAACTGCTGTTTTCAAGTTTCCTTTTGTCATTTTAGCGCATGGGTATTTTTTTTACAGCCACTTTTAATCCCAATTCGAGAATGTTATTTTTATTGTATTCCTTCAACCTTTTGCAACGCTGCACACGGTGGGGGGAAGCTTGCCTTTTCTTTTTCATAACTTGCCAACAACAGGTGGCCTAACCCAGAAGGCCATGCTTGGGATTTTTTTTGTCATATCACCATTGCAATGGAAACTTGGGTGTTTTGGAGAATGACTCACAACCATATAAACACACAAATCACGTCAGCCTATCGTAAGCTAAGCAGGGTTCAGACTCGTTTGAACCTGGATGGGTTACAACGACCAGGGGTTATAGCTATTGGGGCTGCTGAGGTGTGGCCCAAAGGTGCCAATGATGAGTGTCACAGGGACCTGTACATGGTGGCCATATAAAAATACAAACACCTCCCGTGTAGCCCAAACATACTCCTGGGGCAAGTGCTGCTTGCGAGTATGGCATACGAGGGGGTGGGTGGTTAGCACGACGCCGGGCCCTCTATCTCCCGAGTGACAATGTTTACACACTCCACCAAATACTCATCTGAGGCCGAATTGACCTAGGGGAGGACTTGGACCGGTTCAGTAAGTCATTGGTGGTGGCCATGAGCGGGAATCGAACCCGGGTCGCTGAATTCGTAGCGCAGTGCGCTAACCACAACAACGACTGCTCCCCATACATGGGGGTACTGACAAGTACAAACATGTACCTGGTAATGGATTTGGGCAAACATCCCAGAGAATGTCAGGTAATACTAGGTTATTGAAGGCTTGGGCTGTGAAATGGCCAGATCGCAGTACAGAATCTATCCGTGTGGAGCTCTGTTAACCCTTCATAAGATGCATGGATGTTTTATGGGTACAGTACTCTGGTTTTCTTCCACACACCAAACACCACGCAGTATGAGAATTGGCAAAATGTTCCAGTGTAGAGCACCCTCAATGAAAAGGTGTCTTGAGATTCAGTGAGGCTCTCTTTGGTAAATAATAATGATGCATCACTTGACTCGTGTTACCCTCCAAAAATAATTGCATTGCCCTTGCCTCCTGCAGTCTTAATGGCGTCTCAACTGGGAAAATAACTCGCAGATTATATCGGTTGGAAGAGCTTTATTAAATTTGTCACTTTCCAATAGGGTTGTGTGTCATACTTATATACATCCATATATACATTTAACAATACATGCCTGTGATAAACATTGACTGCACACTTTGTTCTCTGCTGGCTTTGCTAAGATGTATTATAACCTTTAAGATGACATGAAGACAAATCACAGTTGCTTTCATAAACATTGTCACTGCTGGCGGTGAAGTTATGCCCAACAGCTGGCGTGCAAGTGAACCCGCACACCATTTCAAGCCTGAAACATGTGATGCTGCGATGGCAGTGGTGCAAAAACACAACAGAAAACACAAGACATTAATCAATAACACCGCCATAACGTGGAAGAATTGTATAATGAGTTAGTATGTGGGCAATGGCAGAGGCCAGAGGCATGGAATGAATAGTTGGGAGACTACACTATACATCACTAGGCTCTGATAGAAAATTCCAACTGTTATTCACTCAGTCCCTCTGGCCACTACACCTCTCTCCCAACAAAAAAGGGACGATTTCCAAAATCGCCGCCTGTTATTTCATTACATTTCTTCTTTCAGACAGTGTTTTTGACGAATATTTAGATTTTTCTTTCGATCTTAAATAGCAACTGAATATTCGTGCGCCTTTTGCGAAAAGCATAAACGGAAACACTTGCGCAAATAAACGCACGTGTAACTGTTCAGGGGTTGTTACTTTTCAAAATACATGCAAAATAATCGAATGTAAAATGGTTTCTTTAAACTAATTTTGTTAAAACCAGAAACATAATATACTTAAATTATCAGAAAACGTAATCTTGTAATCCATAAGTTATATATATTTAAGATTTACGCAATACACCGATGAACAAACCACCCGGAATGTGCCAGATTTAGAAAGCCAAGCCGCAACAATCCTGGACAGTGCTTGGATGGGCAACTGCCATGCATAAAACAGGTGTTAAAGGCTGTTGCGAAGCTACATTGTCAGCAATAGGGCAGTGCAGTAACATCTGCTGTTGTACTCTATTCTATGCTCCAACGTCAATGTTCCCCACCTTTACCAACCCGCACTGGTCACAAAACCATTATGGTCAACCCCCACGGCCCGCACAGTGTGGGGGAGGCCCTCATCCAGCAGTGGATTGAGAAAGGGCCGTACATGTACATACGCGACACATTCAACCGCGGGCCTCTCGCGGTGCTCAGCGGAGGTAATAATCGATCGCCGTCGAAAAAGCAGCGAATCCTGCGCAGCCCAGTACGCCTGCCTTCAGGCCAGCTGAAAAACAAGAAAGGGTAAGGGGTACATTAATCTGGGATGTTGCCGCGGTGTAACGGTCAGCACGCTAGACTCGAAAAGTCAGAGGTCGCCGCTTCCGTCCGATCTGCCGACGCGGTAGTTGAAACAATGGGGCAAGTTTCTTAAATCCCTCCCATCGGTTCTGCACACCCAGCCGCTATAAATAAACGGTTTCGACACGGTCAGTCAGTCGATTGGCAGGTTGCGTGCTGGTGTGGTAGAGTGTGGGCGCTCTGACTTTTTTCCAACACGCCTGTCTCAACGTGGAAGAGCAGGCCAAGACAACATCTTGGTAGGGTCGGCGTTTGACCATTCCCTCCAGCAGTGACACGAGCAAGCAATTGGATGGCTGCCCCTTTTACCTCAACCCAATTTAAGCACTATTACTATAATCCAAAAAGAAAATATTTGGTGCCCACGCAGTGTTAGCCTTTGACAAAACCCGACTTCATTTAGAACACCCGTCAAATGCCGCTTTAATGGGATTAAAATATATATATAAAAACGGCAAGTTCCATCGCACCGAGTGGTGCGCATGCGAAGGTAACCATATATGGCTGCCACTGCCACAGACTTCATCACCATGCCAAGGAATGTAATGTAGCTGGAGAGGGGCCGGGGAGTCCCAGAGGGGCAGAAAATGGAAAATAGGCTGCAATCATCTGTTGCCTATTAAGGTATGAGAATGGAGTGCTCAGCATGCACAGTTAACATTATCCAGGCTCACGGTGCAGCTTATGCTTGGCACGAATGTTACTGTTTAGTCACTTTTAGCCGCAAGGTGGCCCGAAAATAACTGTAAAGTGCAGGGTTTATTTCAGTACGAGGCGTGTACGGTGTGTGATAGTATGATTACGAGTAATGTGATACATTACTCTCAAAACACCTCATGCTGCTGTCCAACCAGCATAAATGGGTACAACCAGATAGTTGATTGACAGATCGTGTGTGTGGTGGGGTAAGGTGTGGGTGCGTCCATCACTTCCAACAGGCCTGGTCAATGAGGAAGAGTAGACCAAGTACCCTCAAGAAAGACTAGAGTTCTCCTTAGCGGAGACCCTTCCGCCAGCAGTGGCACAAGTAAGCAAATCGCAGGGCTGCAACTCTACCTTACTCTCAAAAAACGTCCAACAAAATATCGGCTATTACATCGCAACTCGGAGAGAACATCCAGCAGTGTATTGACCAAGGCTGACGATGATGATTATAATGACGACGGCGGTGACTATTTTGCACCAAAACACGATTTTGTTTCAATTGAAAGCCCACGGCTGCGTCTCACCTCGAAATCCAATGATTCCTCCTGTGGCACATCCACTGAGCGTGCTGTTCTTCCAGTCCGACACTCCCCGATACTGAGAAGCAAAAGGCACCAGTGAATTCAAATCAGCCT